TGTATTCTTGATGACTGCCATTCTGACTGGGGTGAGATGGAATCTCAGTGTAGTTTTGATTTGCATGTCCTTGGTGGCTACAGATGATGTAGTCAAAAAACTAAACATAATTGTTGGCAATTTGTACTTCTTTTGAAAAGTGTCTGTTTTGTTCCTTTACCCATTTATTTACTGGGATATTTTTATCTTTTGGTTTGTTTGTTTGTTTGTTTTGAGCTCTTTATCCATTCTGGATATTAATCCTGTGTCAGAAGAATAGTTGGCAAAGATTTTTTTCTCCAATTATGTTGGCTGTCTCTTTGGTCTCTTGTTTCATTTGCTCTGCAAAAGCTTTTTAATTTGATGCTATCACATTTATTAATCCTTGGTACTATTTCCTGAGCTATAGGACTCCTATTCAGGAAATGATTGCCTGTACCTATATGTTGAAGTGTTTCCCCTATATTTTCTTTTAGTATTTGCAAAGCTTCTGGTCTTATACTTAGGTTTTTGATCCATTTTAAATTGACTTTTGTACAGGGTGAGAGATAGGGATCTAATTTCAAGTATCTGATGACTATGGCTGCCTGGGTTTGTCTTAGTGTCTTCTATTCTATTCCATTGATCTATGTGTCTGTTTTATTCCAGGATCATTCTGTTTTGTTATTACGGCTCTGTAGTATAATTTAAAGTCAGGTATTGCGCTGCCTCCAGCATGGTCTTTTTGTTCAGGATTGCTTTGGTCACTCTGGGTCTTTTCTTCCTCCATATGAATTTTAGGACTGGATTTTCTAATTCTATGAAAAATATCATTGGCATTTAATAGGGATTGCATTGAATCTGTACATCACTTTTGGCAATATGGCCATTTTAGCAATATTGATTCTGCCAATCCACGAACATGGGAGATCACCCCATTTTTTCAGTGTCTTCTTCAATTCCTTTTTTCAGCATTCTGTAATCTTTCTTGTCAAAGTTTTTCATCTCCTTGATGTTTTTCTGAAGATATTGTGAGTGAAAATCATTTTCCTGATTTCTTTCCCAGGGTGTTCATTATTGGTATACAGAAAAGCTATTGTTTTTAACCATTTTTTTTAATTAAAAGCAAATTGGATGTAGCAGATGTGGGGCAGAAAAATGACCTGTCAGATGTGAGGAGAGTCAAGTTTCTTTGCATTAAGGGTAAATTCTGATGAAAAGAATTCACCTCTCTGCCTTGTTATGGTGAATCTACTAGCAATGAAGAGGAAGTTCTACTGCATGCCCTTTTAAATTGATAGAGACCAAGGCACCAAGGAGAAGCTAGGAAGAAAATAGATGTTCTCAGCAAGTAAGGAAGTGTGTGTGTGTGTGTGTGTGTGTGTGTGGTTCTTGCCTGTGTGTATTTACAAGTATTCAACTAGATCTTCAACAATGGCATCTTTTCAGAAGATCTTTGGGGCTTATGACAGACTAGAGGTGCAAATAACTAATTCCTCATATTTTGGAAATGGTCACACAGTCCCTTTGTGTTTGGGAGACCACTGCTGGAAATAGGTCTTGGTGCTAAGCAGTTATGAGGCAGGGATGAAGAGAATCTCAGGGTTTGAGCTACTGCAAACTTCCCCCTGCCAGAATCATTTACTTTTTCAACTGGCTCAAGCATATCTATAGGAATGCCTGTAATAGGTCAGGCACTGTTCCACTCAGGGACACAATGTCTAGGTCTTTTCCCTCAAGCAACTCATAGCTAGTGTATTAGTTAGCTTTTTTCATGTGGTAGACCATCCCCCTAAAACTTAGTGACTTCAAACAACAGACATTTATTTGGCTCCAATTCTTTGAATCAGCAGTTGAGGCTGGGCTCGGCTGCACTGTTCTTCTGGTGTTGATCGGGATCACCAAAGTGAACATGGTTAGTTTCCAGGTCAGCTGGAGTTGACTGGTCTGGGGTGACCTCAGTTGGGACACTCATCTCTCCTGCATGTGGTCTCTCATCCTTCAGTGTCTTGGGCTTGTTCACATGCAGCCCGCAGGGTTCCAAAAAGGAAAAGGGAGGCATGCAAGACTTCCACTGCCTTCTATGGGTCAAAACAGATGATGAGGCAAATATAGACTACAGAGATGGAAAATGGGCCCCACCTCTTGATGGGAAGAGTTGCAAAGTCAAATGACAAAAGGATTTGATAAAGGAAAGAGTGGAGAACTGTGGCTCTTTTGGCAATCATTCTGTCACAGCCCTATCAGTAAACACAGTTGTGTGAGCAAACAGTCTAACCACCTCATCCTGCAGTCGAAGATTTAACTCAGCCTTCTCAAATCTCCATCTGGAGTCAGTATGATTTGTCTATGTGTTCTGTATCGATTTTAGAAAAAAAAAAGTTTTGTCTCAATGGCCTTTATTTCATTTTATTGTATTTTAAAGAAAGATACTTCTTAAATGCAAAACTCAATGCTTATTTAGCTTCTACACACAGAAGACCTTTGAAATTCAGCTTGCTATGTTGCAAATCTGGGAGAGTCTGTCCCATGTGCTCAGTGGGGTTTGTTTGGTGAAGGAGCTGGCTAGTGCAATTCTTGGAGCGATGATGTGACAGGAAATGTGCACAGAGTCAACACCAGGACCCTGGGTTGGAATTCTACAAGACTAGTCAAATGGCCCAGCCATCTGATAGTTTTTGTCTAGGAATTTGTGAGTAGGACACACTATGGTGGAAGGTCCCCTGAAACAATTATGAGACTTTCCTTTTCTAAGCATAAAACATTGACATTTATCAGCCATGTTTGCTCTTCATTCTTTTCCATTTGGGGCCGAGGACACAAGTCCATTGAATGGGCTTGAATTTTATCAGAAAGATTAAAAAATGTTATATACAACTCTACAAGTCATTAAATAAGCAAGATATAGAGTCTTGTTCTCTAAGAATCTTTAGGAATAAGCCAGATAGCCATGAGCCTTGTTTCAGAGTCCAGAAATATACCACACGGCACGGTAGTGTTCATTGTAGACTGAGATTCTGGAGCACTTTGCATTGTGTTCTTTTGAAGTTACGAAGTGAAATGGAGGAACTCTTCTGTTTTAATATCTAAAATGTTTTCCAATAAGACTTGACTTTCAAAGACAATTAAGAGAGATAAAACCTAAAGTGCTCCTCTCTTTGGAGGATACCAGTTTCTGGAGCCTTCCTGACCTGCATGATTCTGTCACTTGAAGCTATTCTTATATTCTGGTCTTCTAACTATGGCGCCTCTGTCTTTACTCAGTTGGATTCAGAATATTTTGCAGCACAGTCCCACTTAGAAAGTCCTACAAAGAAGAGATCCATATTTTCAAACATGCATTTTTAAAAAAATTAGTTACGACAAATTGTAAAGCAACAGATCAGCAGATGATAAAAAAAAAATAACAAAGAAATTTAATCACTACAAGGCCAAGAAATATCATGTTGGAAGGGAAAGGAAGGTACTGGGAATGAGATTGATCAAATTGGGTTATGTGCAAGCACAAATATGACATGATGAATCCCACTATTGTGGGTAATTATAATGCACCAACAAAAAATAAATTTTAAAAAGTAGAATGATACCAGCATCCCCAAGTCCCTGCTTGCACCCAGACCCAGTCCTTACCCTCTCTTTTCAGCTCAAGTGTAGCCACCATCCTGGCTTCGAATAGCATAAGCTGGTTCTGTTTGGTTTAAAACCTGGTGCAAATGAATCACCACAATTGCCTGGCTTGTTTTGCTCAGCATTCTGGCTCATCCATCTATGTCGTTGTGAAAAGCTATGGTTGGCTCATTTTCACTGAATGAATGTACTATAATTTATGTATCAGTTCTGCAGTTAATGGACCTTCTTATTGTTTCCAGTTGTGGCAATTATGAACATTCTTGTACATGAATTTTGGTGCCCATATGAACTATTACTGTTGAGTGTATATTTAGGGATAGAATTGCCATGTTGCTCCCATATGTTCAATTTTAGTAGGAATGCCCAGTTTTCCATAGTGGTTGTGCCAATTCATACTCCCACTAACAGTGCTTTCTATCCTTGTTAACACTTGCTACTGTCAGTCTGTCTATACCATGTGGGACTGTGCAGTTGTATCTCATTGTGACTATAATTAGCATTTCTCTCTTATTAGTGAGGTTGCACACCCTCTCACATGTGTAATGAGTCTTTGGTTAGCTTTTTTTGTGATGCACCAATTCACGCATCTTGCCAACTCTTCTTCGTCTATTTAGTACTGATTGGCATGTGCTGTTTTTAATTTCTGGATACAAGCCCTTTGGAGGTTACATGAATTGCAAATATCTTCCCCAACTCTTCATGGTGGCTTTTGATGATCAGAAGTTCTTAATTTAATACAGTCCAATAATCTATCCTTGTGGCAATACCACAGCTTTGAAAAGTAATCCAGTTTTGCAGTAAGTCTTCAAATCTTGTAGCGGAGGTCTTCCAGGTTTTTCTTCTTTTTCAAGATTGCTTTGTCTATTCTTGGTCTGTTGCATTTCCATACATTTTAACATCAGTTTGTTGTCTGAGATTTTTATTTAGAACTGTATTAAATCCATATAGATCAATTTGGACAAACTGGAACATTTGAGCCTTCCATTATATGGTCATGGTATATTTCTTCATTTACTTAGGTCTTTAGTTTTATACATCAATATTTTGTCCTGACCCATGTAGAAGTCTTACAAACTTTTAGTTAGATTTATTCTTAGGCGTTTGATTTTTTTTTCATATACTTGTAAATGACATCCTTTACATTTTTTGTTTTCTGTTTATTGCGAGTATCTAGACATATCTGATGCTTTTTATTGAATGTAGACCCAATGTCCTTGACAAACTCACATATTAATTGTAATGGTTTCTTTGAAGGTTCTCTGGGGTTATCTATGACACACAGTCATATCACCTGGGAGCCCTAACACTATTATTTATTCTCTTCCTGTCCTCGTGCTTCTCATTTCCGTGTCTGATGTTCTCACTGACTCTGTGCCTTTGGCCTAATGAAATCTTTCCCTCTTTCCTTCCAGAGGAAGCTGAGGCACTTATCGACTATGAAGATAATTTCCCTGATGACAGATCCGTGTCATTCAAAGAGCTCATGGAAGATTCCCGGACAGAGGCAGAAGAGGACAGAGGTCAGGAAGAAGCCTCTGAGGAGGCCCCAAAGCAAGACCGTCTGGTCTCCATTTCTGTGGGGAAGGAACATGAAGCCTGGGATAAAGCATTTGGGCCAACCACAGGCTTGTCTGGCCCTGAGAGCAGTGTCCCCACAGACTGGCCAAAATCCCAACTAAACCAGAAGTACTCGCTCTGGTTTCCTGCTGAGACTTTCCACAAGCCTGAGTTGGAAAAGGACGTGGATGATGACACCAAAAAGCAGTTTCCTGCTGGAGACAGTCACAGTGGAGCGAAACTGGTCCCAGGTGAACCCGAAACCAAGGTGATCTATGGTAGCACTGAGGGCCCCTTGGGGCCTTTTGTGGACAGAAATGACAGCAGGGCAGGAGACCCGGTGGTAAGCAGCAGTGATGAGTCCTGGTTAGATGGGTACCCTGTGACGGACAAGGCTTGGAGGAAAGAGGAGGTAGAAGGGGAGGATGAGGGGGACAAGGGGGATGGGTCAGTAGGACAGGATGAAAGTGTTCTCGTGACTCCTGATCAGCCCATCCTCGTGGAAGTCAAGAAGGCCAGGAGCACCGCTCTCACACCAAGTGAGGACATGAGCCACAGTTCAGTTCCTCCATCTCAAATGCTAGATGTGGAGGCATTGGCTCTCAGGCCCATGAACGTGTCTGAGACAGAGGGTCCCCCCATTAGGGATGATGACTCCACCAAGTACCAGCCAACTGTACCTTGGAGACTCACCACAGGCGAGTCTCCCACGGCCACCCCACCCCACGAACTCAGCCACTCGACCCTGGAGACAATGACAACAACTGCTATCCACCAGATGCCTACCCACATCCCCTCAACTAGCACCGAGGCCACCATGCTGCCAGTGGAAACCACTGCTCCTGAGGTCCAGGACAGCTTCCCCTACCTGCTGTCTGAGGACTTCCTAGGACAGGAAGGCCCTGGGCCAGGTGCAAGTGAGGCAGAGCTTCTTCCAACTCTGGAGCCCTGTGTGGGAGACGAGTGTCCCAGCCTCAGCAGAGGCCCCGTGATCGCCACCATTGTCACAGTCCTGTGCCTGCTGCTGCTCCTGGCAAGTGTGGGGGCCGTGTGGGGTTACCACAGGTGCCAGCACAAGAGCTCCGTGTACAAGCTGAATGTCGGCCAGCGGCAGGCGAGGCACTACCACCAGCAGATTGAGATGGAGAAAGTCTAATCACCTTCGGAGGAAAAAGAACTGTGGGACACCACACCGACAATTCACCAGAGCGCAGGTGGAATAGGGCTCATCTTCTTTCCCCACAGGTCTGTGTTCTGTAGGCTGAGAAGTGTCTCTGGAGACACCCGGAAGGGCAGGGAGGTTTTGGTGGCTTCATGACATAGGTCGATGTCTCCTCAACCATCTGCCCTGGAATCGATTGCACTAAGATCTGTGTGTGGGCCCTAATTCCAAACACAAGGTCCAAAATCACCTCTTGCTTCATCAAAATGTTGTCTTCTTTTCCTTTTTTAAGAAAGAAAAGCACTGACTCCGTATCCTGAAATTTTAAAAATAGGCTTAATACACCAAGCCTCTGAGGGTACAGTGTTGCTGGGGACAATGACGACTGCTTGCTGAGAGTGGGATACAGAAAAATAAGGGGTCGTTTCCTTTGAATGTTGTGACGTTGCTAAGGACAGATGAGCCAAGAACCAGGGCTCAGTCAAGAAACTCTGGTGTTTCCTTTTAACTGTTTTTTTGTTTGTTTGTTTTTGTTTCTTTTTCTTTTTCTGGAATTGGAGAGAATTTAAGGCAGACATTTTGCTATGGGGAGGAGTGAAGAGACACACATCCACCTCTGTTCCCTCCATTCTGTGGGACAGCCCAACATTGTTTAAGAACAAGGTGAGCTTTATATCAGGAAGGATCGTTTCCTCCAGTTGTTCTTGACCAGTCTGTGCCTAGGAACATCTTGGAATCTTTGTCAGGACTAACAAAACTCAATCTTTAGTTTCCTCTCTCAGGATTAACCATTTGTCTGAACTCCAGTAAGAGGGAATGACATGGAGGAAAAAAATGTTTGAAGAAAGCCAAAGATTAGATGTCAAGTGCTACTTGATGGAGATGAAGAATTAAAAAGGAACATGAAATGACCTGTGCCCATCTATTCCTTACTTACATGGGACAGTCCATCCGGGCTACCGAGTAACCCGTTTCATAGCATCTAGGTCATTCCATATAGACATTTGGCAAGTAGTATTTATGACAGTGGCTCTTAAAGGGTGGTCCTCAGAGCAGTCACATCAGGGTCACCTAGAAGCTTGTTGGAGATGCAGGTTCTCTAGGACCACCCCAGACTCAGGAAACAGAAACCCTGGGGGTGGGTCCCAGCTCTGGCTGGCTTAACAAACCTTCCTGGAGATTCCAATGTGTACTGAGTGTGAGAGACATTGGTTTATAACATAAATTGTGAGCTTTGAAGCCAGCTGAAGCTCCAGAGGCACAGGAGATGAGTAGCACCCAGGGTCTGTCTTGCATAGAAACCAGGCATGGCAGTGTTTGGAGCTACCAGTGGGCCACCTCCAACAGCCTCCTGTCCACTGGCCCTGAAGCTAAACACATCATATTTTTCTAATACAAATCACCTTCTTGGAGATAGTTTTCAGTGGTAAAAAGTGATGAAGGCAATACATTTATTTTGAGACACTATTGGAGTCTAAGTGCTTCTGTGTGGCATGAAAGAAATCCTATTCATGTTTTACAATTGAAAAATGGGGGGTGGTGGTTTTTTCTATGGAAGAAAAGAATTTCCGTAACATGTTTGCTACCCTGCCACTTCTTTTCAGTGCAAGCTTTGAAAATTTAATAGACTAAGTAGTTACAAGACAGTACAGCTTAATCAAAGATCTTAACCCCCCATAAATGGGTAAATGAAGACCTGAAGTTACCAACTGTTAATACCTATGCATCAGATGAAATCTAGAATAATAGGAAGGAAATGTTTTCTTTGTGTAGCTAAAGCAGAACACTGCAGAACAAAAGCCAGTGGCTGTATATATTTTACAATTAGATTCTAATCTATTGCAGGATAACTTTTCTATTTTTAACTCTATAAAATAACCTCTGTCTCAACATTGGGACTCTATTAGCAGCTATTATTATGTAATAACCCAGAACATTGAACCTATACCGACACATAAATAGGTAATATTAATACAATGTATTAATAAATTTATTACAAATTATTAATACATGTAAATGTATTTTTCTGGAGATATGAATTGCAAAGCAAATCCAGCACATCAGTTTTTAGGTTTGATTTGATGTCATCTAAATTGGTGTTACAGAATCAAAAAATGTCTGTCAAAAGGGAATGATTAAAATAAACCTAAATTGTTTTCCATTTTGCATGTTTTGAGACTGGTAAATGTTTGGTTGATGCTCATAAAAACTGAGGGAAAGAGAGCTTTCATTAACACAAAGCTTCTGATATATTTTAAATAAATAATTATTTCCCAAAACCATTGTTGAATGTATTTTATTTCTGGCATACTGAATTTTTTTAATGGTACCAGGGAATTGAATCCAGGGGTGCTTAACCACTAAGCCATATCCCCAAGCCTTTTTTAAAACTTTGAGACAAGCTCTCACTTAGTTGCCTGGGGCCTCTTTAAGTTGCTGAGGCTGGCTTTGAATTTGCAATCCTCTTACCTCAGCCTCCACAGCCAATGGGATTACAGGAGTGCACCACCATACCTGGCCTTTTTTTTTTTTTTTTCCTCTTTTAAGAATTATTTAGTAATCTTGAAAATAACATCTTAATACTTGCTATATTTACACTGCCCTCTCCAAGTATAACTCTCAGCCACCTTACCTCCTACAGCAGGATTTCTGGGAAGTCTACAGAACCCTTGCCCCCTGCCTTTGTCACCCTAGTCATAGAGGAATGGTTCTTGCCCCAGCAGAACAGGCACCCCTATGACCTTTTTAGAAGTGCAGACTCTCAGGCCCTGCCCCAAACCTGCTGAATCAGAATCTGCATTGAACAAGATGTCCCGTGAAGGGGGTACATGGTAAGGTTTGAGAAACATTGGTCTAAGAGGCCAGAACCGATCACCCCTTTCTCTCAACTGATGGGACATTCAAAGGAATAATTACAGAGGGCTAAGAGGAGACAGTTCACAAAGATATGGACAGGGTTAAGAGAACCATTAAGGAATGGTAGATAGCTGGTGGGGACCCCAGCGACAGAGCTTCAGCAATAGGAAAGACACTATAGGATAAGAGCTCTGGCCTCAAGAAGCAGCCACTGTTTAACTGTAGCATGAAAGGAACATGTTTTTTTGTTTGTTTGTTTCTTTCTTTTTAAATTTTATTTTTTTGGTACTGGGGATCCAACCCAGGAGTGCTTTACTATTTACCGCTAAGCCACGTACAACCCCAGTCCTTTTTTATTTTTTGAGACAGGGTCTCTCAGGTGGTAAGGATTTTGCTAAACTGGGGAGGCTGGCCTGGAACCTGCAAGCCTCCTGCCTCAGCCTCCCGAGTAGCTGGGATTACAGACGTGCACCATCATGCCCAGCCAATATGGGGTTTTAAAGACTCGGACCTCTTATCTCTCTCTGCAGTGTCTTGAAGGCAGGTCCCATTGAGAAGTCAGAGAGCAAGGAAGCCCAGGCATTGTGGACCATAGAAATCAGGGAAGGGTGGGAAAGAAATTTAGTGGAACAAATAGGGAGATCCAGCTCAGAAACCACCAGCACTGATCTCATCTGCCTTTAGTCCCTTTCTACCTCTATGACCACCAAGGATCCATGCCTCCCAAGTCATGAACTCTGTTGATGCCCCTCTCAGATTCCCCTCACTAGGCAGGAAAACTCATCTTCCAGCTGCTACAATGCTCATAAGCACATAACTGTACACTCCTCACCCAGAGAACTGTCTTCACCCAGGAAGTGAGACCCATCTTCTACCCTGCTAGACTGGATATATAGGGATAGAAAAGACCAGACTCCTTGCCTCCAGCAGGGACCAGCTTAATGGTGTAATCTCCAGGGATCCCAGGAGATCAGGATGAAGCTGGTCCAACGAGAACACATCCTTGCTGGCTCCTTCCTGCTTCCCTCCCACCCCTTCTCTTGAGAGCACTCCATCACTGGCATAAGGCTTTGCTTCAAGGGATCTGGACATAGCACAGTGATTCACACTCAAACTCTTCCTCCCTACCCTTCTACTCCTCCTCAATCCAAAATCTAAACTCTTTCGCTGTGTGCTCTGGGATTCTTGGGTTAACATCGTTCTAAAAAAAAAAAATTGTTGTGTTATCAACTTCTTCTTCAGAGAGCCGAGGTCTGCACCCACCATAATGTGGACTTCTTTGTTTGGGGCTGGCTAGTTCCTCCCTTCTTCTCTCCACTTTCTCCTTGCTTGCCCTTTAGAGACATGCATGGTGCCGTTGCTATTGGCAGGCATCAAAGAAGATGCTTTGAATCCAGTTTTGAAACCGATTCCAGACTTTTTTTCTTTTTTTCCTAGTGAGATCCCAGATCTCTGAAAGAGAAGCTTCCCGGGGAGAGGAATGAGCCCCTGCTGCCTTACCATACCTCAGCCAGCTCCCGGCTAGCCAGGACCGCCTCTGCTTCGGGCAACCCAGGAGTTCTTGGTATGAAGGTTCTGCTTTGTTAGATGACTGTCAGAAATTTCATGGACCTGAGAAAACAGAGCTCATTACAACATGTGTCCTGAAATGACTGGGTGTGGCTAAGATATTCCCATCCAGTGGATAGAAAAGAAAACAGTAATAAGGAAAAAAAAAATTAAAGTGGTTTTTGTTTGGTTTGGTTTAGTATGAGGAATTGAACCCAGGGATGCTTTACCACTGAGCTACATCCTCACTCCCTTTTTTAAAAATTTATTTTCTATTTTGAGACAGGGGCTCACCAAGTTGCTTAGAGCCTCACTAAGTTGCTCAGGCTGACCTCAAACTTGTCATCCTCCTGCCTCAGCCTCCGGAGTGGCTGGGATTACAAACGTGTGCCACCACATCTGGCTAAAGTGATCTTTTTAAAGTGTCTGTTTCCAATTATTTTCCAAGTTCTAATTTTCTTTCTTTTTTTTTTAATTTGCTTGAATTATTTTTTTAAATTTTATTTATTTATTGGTATGTGGGGCTGAGCATCAAACCCAGTGCCTCACATATGTCAGGTGAGCGCTCTGCCGCTGAGCCACGACCCCAG